TCTCTCTCTCTCTCTCTCTCTCTCTCTCTCTCTCTCTCTCTCTCTCTCTCTTTCTCTCTCTCTCTGGTTTTGGCTGAGCCTTGATAGTATCAACGGGGTTGCAGCATAATAACGGGATTTATCTCTTTAGCTGCTTGGTCTCTTTGAATAGCTAATGGGATTTCTGGCAGTCGACCTGCTCTTTCTCAGGTATCCCCACTGTTATTTGGGGAGAGGGGAGGGGAGATGGGGGCGCTCCTTGACCCACACCCTGAGCGGGCATGTAGGTATAAATAGTCTATTGTCCTTGTCCCCCTCTATTGACCCCCTGTTTACGTGTCGTAACTGCCCGATGACCATGGCGTATACATTCACCCCATCAACCCCTCCCCACACACACACTTTTTTTCTACCATGGGTCTGATATGGGGGAAAAGAGAGAATACATGGGCCAATAGAGTTCTTGTTGTGTGGTGTGTCCTTTTTATTAGATAGGATATAAGATTCTCAATTGTCGGCATGGGTGGTTTGCTTGTGCTCTGGTGTGGTTTTTGCTTCTTCTGTCCTATCCAACATCGGTTGTCCTTATCTCTCTTCCTCTCTAGTAAGACCTCTTATCCTCGGCCTTCATGAGACCTATTTGTGTTGCAAGTGCCATGAAACCTTTGCAAGAGCTCTCAGTGAACAACAAGTACCATGAGACTCACATAACTAAAAAGGTTAACTGTCAATGACCAGCTTCCTTTACATTTCTGTTTTGTTGAACTTCAACAGATACGCCACGTGGGACGGACATGGTGGAGGAATCGGAGCTGGCGGAGATGTACGGCCCGTCCAAACCTCCCAAACTGGCCGTGTACCCCTTCCCGCCGTACGCCAAGACCAGGCGAGAGCCCACTGTGGTGCTGGACGAGGACGGGTACGTGGTGGCGGGGAACCTCCCTGGATACGGCGAGCTCCCAGGGCTCGGCCTACACAACAACGCCAAACCTTCGCCAACCTCTCGCGAGCGGCAGCCCAGCAAGCCTGCAAAAGCGTTGGACGGAGGAGCCGTCCCGAAACCAACTTTGGAGTACTACAAAGAGGGATTAGAGAGAGGCATCCAGGAGTTTCTCGGCCAAAACAGCGCGTTGAATGATATTTCTCCTGCTGCAGTTTTCCCGCCGACGGTCGTGTCTTTTGGTGACAAGCGGCTCTCGAGTGCCAACGATGGTGTGAAAAGGGCTGAGTCAATTTTGTCCTCAATCTGTGGAGGTAAACAACGAAGTCACAAACAAGACTGTGGGGTGAAACGGCCGTGTCAGAAGCAGGCACAGCTGAAACAGAAAGCAAAGAAACAGCAGCAAAAGGGCCAAGTGTCCACGATGTCCCGTGAGAAATCTGTGGCCTTGTTCGGTAAACCGGAAGGCGACGCCATGTTGGACGCTGGTCAGGGCTTCGTATTGGTGCTTGATAAAAGCTTGGACGTGTTGTTTGTGTCTGAGAACGTCTACTTGCATCTTGGCCATCACCAGGTACGGCTTTGTAATGTTGTCTGGAGTAGGGAAGGAGGTGTGGGGGTGTTGGTGAGGGTTAGTGGTACGAAGTGGACCAACATTTCGTCTATTTCTGGAGGTTTGGGATGTTCAAAGAAATACAGTGCGGTGCTTGGGACACTTGCCCCGTAACCTGGGTGTCCCGGGGTCGATTCCAGATAGCGAGATTCCTTAGAATTTCAAAGGCTGTCAACATTGGATCAGTACTGTGGCAGGTTGTCGTTAAAACGTAAGGACTTCCTCCTTTAGAATCTATTTGTGTTGAAATATGCGGTAAACGTTACCCCCAAAACAAGCTGTCTGTGTCTCCCAATCCCTTTTGTTTCTTTTCTTCCCTTAATTACAGTTATATTGAAAGCTGGGGTATCTCACTCAGTCTCACTGTTGCATAATATGGATGTTAATTGGTACTGCAGGTAAAGCTCCCCCAAACGAAGCACCGAGCTCTCTGTACTTTTTGTGCCGCTTTAACACTGTAGTATGTAGAAGACTCAAACACAGAAGCCGCTTCTATAGGACGTGTAAATTCTCTCTCTCTCTCTCTCTCTCTCTCTCTCTCTCTCTCTCTCTCTCTCTCTCTCTCTCTCTCTCTCTCTCTCTCTCTCTCTCCCCCCCTCTCTCCTCTCTTTGGTTTTGCCCTCTCCTACCCTTTCTCTGTCTGTCTGTCTGTCAATCTGTCTGTCAATCTGTCAATTGTCTGTCTGTCTGTCTGTCTGCCTGTCTGTCTGCCTGTCTGTCTGTCTGTCTGTCTGTCTGTCTGTCTGTCTGTCTGTCTGTCTGTCTGTCTGTCTGTCTGTCTGTCTGTCTGTCTGTCTGCCCGCCTGTTTGCCAGCTGGGATGTATCTCTCTCTGCCCGGGTTGGTCCTAATCTGAATTTTGTCGATTGGGACCTAAAAAACCTAAATGTCATGAGAAAAAGAAAGAGGGAGGGGAAGGGACACACACACGTGCGTGCACACACACACACACACACACACACACACACACACACACACACACACACACACACACACACACACACACACACACACACACACACACGCAGACAGAGAGAGAGTGAGTGAGTGAGAGTGAGTGAGTGAGTGAGTGAGTGAGAGTGAGTGAGTGAGTGAGAGAGAGAGAGAGAGAGAGAGAGAGAGAGAGAGAGAGAGAGAGAGAGAGAGAGAGAGAGAGAGAGAGAGAGAGAGAGAGAGAGAGAGATCTGTATTTCATCATGTAATTGACACTTAAGTGTTTTTCAGTATTCCCACACCTACTTTTACTGCCGGTTTGTGAAAAAAACAGACAACCAAACAAAACCCGATAGTTTAATTTATTTGTAGGCCTGTAATTTTGACAGTTCTTGCAGCTGTGCCTGCTAATTATGTCATAAAAAGTTGTATAACCATGATGCTTTTTATTACACACGGGAGATGCTAATTTGATTTTTTTTCTCCTATATTTCGGGTTTCCTTCCCATCAATACAGGAGCTGGCAAGTGGATAAAAACTATTTTTGTTTTATCAATGCAGAAGCTGTTGGAAATTGGTTTTATTTATTTAAAAAAGTTTTGTTCCCGTTTTGGCAGGTGAACTTACTGGGAAGGAGTATCGAGGATTTGATTCACCCTAAAGATTTGGCAGCTCTGCGCTGGCATTTGAGAGACGAGCAGTTCAAGAAAGGTCAGTTTTTGTAGATGTTGAAATTCCCCAATTATAACTTCTATTGTTGTTCTGAGGCCATACTGTGCAAGAAAGGTCAGCTTCTGTTGATGTTTAAAATTTCTCAGGTTGAGTTTTTGTTTGTTGTTGTTTTTTTGGGTTATAGTGTGCTTGTCTGTTCCTTTTGTTCCAAAGTGTTTGATAACCTAACTTTTTGATGTGATATATGTACTCCGTTTGCCTCTTTCTTCAAGTTACCTTTACCTTTGTCTGGTTTCTACAACACCAACCCCACCCCGAATAAGAAACGAAAGGAATGTATATTTAACAAATACTGGAAGGGCGTACTAGGAACCAACAGTAAACAAAGAGTAGAGGTGAAGTACAAGTAAAACTAACATTTTTCCAAAAGTCGAACGTAGAAATATGAAATACACGGACAGTGATACATGTACCAAGACAGCGGCATCATCAGCAGCAACGGCATTAAAAACAACAGCAACAGCACAAAAAACAACAGCAACAGTAGAAGCAGCAGCACCAGCTGCAGCAATAGCTACAGCAAAACCACAGAAACCCCAAATACGTCACTGCGGAGGAAATACGTTTTTGTACTTTCGTTATATCTAGCCTTGATTTCCTTATGAACCTGGAATTGTTGGCCTCTCACGCCTCCGTCGCGTATGTTTGGAGTATGCCACTTGTTCCTACTTCTTTATCACCCCCCCTCTGTTGTTTCTGTCTGTCTGTGCTGGTTGGTGGAGGGCGCCACTGGTAGGTCCTACTTCTTCCCCCCCCCTCTGTTGTTTCTGTCTGTCTGTCTTACCTTTTCCCATCACTAAATGACCCTTCTTGTGTCGAAGTGCTTATCCTTACCCAAACAAGTGGGTGGTTGGCGGGTGCTCTGGTGTGGTTTGCTTCTTCTCTCCTATGAAAAATCTAACTTCCTTATCTCCCCTTCTCCTTTTTTATATTTGTTACTCTCTTGCAACACCTCTTATCTTCTGGTGCTCATATGACCTTATGCAGTAGTGAGCGCCGTAAAACCTCTACTAAAACTAAACTAAACTTACCCAAACAAAACAGACTCGAACAAACGACCCCTTCTCGGATGTTTTGACTTTTGCTACAATCCGGGTATTGTCTCAGGCTTTCCTGGTTCAAGTATGTTAAGTGGTAGTACAAGTGGTGCGGCGTGCAGAGTGGGGTGACAGCATTATATTGCTTCATATTTATTGTAGTTGTTATTTTTCTGTCTGTTAAATGCTTTACACGTCATAGTAGACAAATACTAAAACGGGTTTGGGAAGCTTGTCAGACATCTCACCAATTTACAATGTTTCGAGGTGAACGTCCTGTTTTCAGATGAGTCCATAATGACCTCAACGCTACGTGTAAAATTTATGTCGACTTTTTGAATCATGTTTGTTTCCCATATTCTTCTTCCAATTCGCAAAGCCTCTCATCTACATATGTTTTACAAGAAATACATGTTTATCGTGCTTCTGCAATAAATAGAATCAGTTGCGTGATTGAATAACTTAATTAATTAATAGTGTTGATGGGGCGTTAATACCGTTTCACAGTCTTTTAAGGGCAACAACGAAGATCTAAGCCATAACATCCCAGATGCTGGTGTTCTGTAGTGACAATAAGCATTTCCTGGAATGCCGCAGTAGGCCGACCATTGCTTGATAGTTCTATTGGTTACTACAAGATTTGATCTCTGGTGTCTTTGATGCATACGTTAAGCTCTTTGCTGTTGTACACAAAGACGCGTTCTCTCTAATTTTAGCCCTCCCTCATCCCCCCTTCCCCAGTCAATAGGTCAAGAAAAATTATCCGCAAGCATAGAAAGCAAATTAGGTGGTTTCTACTTTATAAAGAAAGAAAAAATAAACCAGCAACTCCAAATAACAAACTACGCACAAATAGCCAAGAAACGATAGTTTTGGTATTCTGCTCTCCCCAAAACGCCCCTCCCACTTTATGCCAAGTTAACTAAGACTTTGTAAGACTACAGATGAAAACAACGAGAAAACAACAAACTTAAAAGATTAAAATAAGGAACTCCAAAACAAACAAGTTACTGGAAAATCCAATAAAAACGATCATTAAACTTCAAGCACATGCCTTGGAACGAGATGTTTAACTTTTCCTCACCCTGTTTGCCGTTTCCCCCCCATACAACCTTGTTAAAAAAAAGTATTAGATTGCTTCGTATTCCCCACACTCCTCTCTGTTTTGTCTATCTGTCACTCAGTGTTTTCCAACAACAGCGCTGTCCTACATGCTTACTGAGGCTTGTTTATAAATGATTATACATCTTTTTTGCCCCCCGCGTATACGATTTAAATTGTTTGGAAGTTACACGATTTCACTTCCACTCCGGGTTGACTGGTACAGCGTCCGAACAGAAGGATGGAAATGTATATTATATTATGTACTAAAAAAAATTCCTACCCTGGAATCGAACTCATGTGTGACGGCAAATAGAATAATTAGAGTTTGACAACTACCCTTCTATTCTCTGACAGGAATGTTACAGCTGTTCTTATCTAAATCTGAATTAACCCCAAAATGAGACTGTATTTAAGGATATGTTGTTTTTTTTAAAATTCGGGAAAAGGAGAGTTCTTTTCAGTTGCTACGGTTGTATTGTTAGGGAAATGGGTAAAAAGACATCGGAAGTATGGTGGGTGGATGTTGGCGATATGGCAGCTAAGAATGCGGAATAAGAAAGTTCTTGTGTCAATCTGTGCCGCTGCCATTTCAAGCTGGGTTCACACGTTCTGTGTGACGAGCATTGAAAAAAAGAAAAACAAATAAAACAAGAAAAAATACCCAACAACCCCGCCCCCCACAAAAACAAAACAAACGCTCCAAGCAACAAAAACTACGACTGACTGCAGAGCGGAAACTGTAACGCCCAGGCTTTAGTGGCAAGAGGACGCTCGATCTTGGTCCACTTTCTGTTTCATGGCATTCAGACCTCCGGTCTCTGCTTTGGCCTATATACAATTGCCCCAGCACACGCGTGGAGACAGGGTGCCAAAACAAGTTTTTTTCAGAATTCTTTCCTTGATGTTTCTTTAATTTTGTCACTACATTGGCGCCACTGTATTTATTTCTTTTTGTTCATTTGAGTAACTTAGAAGACAAGGCTTGTGATGTGTTTCTTTACAAAAAGTACGGAATAGTTTATTATCTTCCAGTTTTGGCAAATCCTGCCTTCTCGATCTTTAACAAGAGGTCTTTAAAAAAAATTTTAATCCCTTTTTTTTGGACACCTTTTGTAGTTTTTGGGAGTCGTGAAGAGCTCATAAATTTGCCTCTAATAAAAATAACAAAGTTGGCAGCAGAACCCGATTTGTCCCTTTCGTATACTCATTTTTTGATTTCAAACGCTTTCTCAATTACCACGCCGCGAAAGAGACACTTTTAACAGGTCTTGTATTGTTTTGCTGATATTATTTTTGTCCTAAAAAGTGTTCAGGGCTTCATTCGCGCTGGCTTGGGAAAATTACCTCATTGTAACTTTTTGTAAAACTCTTAATGTTTTTCTTTTTCCGTTAGGCCATTTTGATGTTGATAGAAGGGACGAGAGACATAGTTACACGTTGTCTCAGAAATGTAATTTGTATTCTGGAGAACCGAACAATCTGAATGGCTGACGATGCGCTCTATCAAATGGATGCGTCATGACGTTGTCGAATCAGACGCTCGTCCATTTTTGGGCAGATAGGGTTGTTGGTTTCGTCTTAAACCTTGTTTATTTGTCTTGCTTTTGGTTTTAAAAAATGCCCTTGTAACTTTAATAGAAATCGATATATTTTCGATTGAAGAAAATGGGGTTGGGTGTCGCTAGTTTCAGAGGTTAAAATAACGAGAAGACTGCCAAAGTTCGGTGGCTTCCAAAGCTTAAATATACGTGGAATCTGCAACTTTACATTTTTTTTGTGTTCCTTTCATTAACGTTTTTCAGAAAAAAAATCCACACAGAAATATATTCTTAAATGGACACAAAAAGTATTGAGCCGAAAACAAGTCTGTATAAGTAACTAAATAAATAAATAAATAAAATAAAAATCGATAACAATTATCTAACGGGCAAAAAATGCAGATTTCTTCCACTTCATTTTTTGCGAGCATCTAATTTCTCCACGATGTCACATGTGTGTGTGTCCCAGTTAAAGCAGCCATTGCATGCACGTTTCTGTGCAATGTCTCCTTCGCCTGTAGTAACCGTTAGACTGTTTGGCGTTGCACACGTGAGATGCGATTTTCTTTCTTACCTAGGGAAGTCTTTTTTATCGAATATCTCAGGCTTTCTGGAGAATGGTCAACTCAGGTTGGCACTGGCAGGCTTGGTGGAAGTTGCACGGCTCGAAGAAGATCCACATTGTGTCGATGAGGACTTAAGACATAATTTTCTGTCATTTTAATAGCAGTCTCTTAAAAGCCACACTAACAAATGGTATCGTGGGTGGTTGGCGGGTGCTCTGGTGTGGTTTGCTCTTTCTTTCCCCTCAAATGTCTTTCGTCCTTATTTCTCCTTTTTTCTTTGTATGTTACACCCCAGTAGTAAATCAAACCGTCGACACATATTATGGCCAAGTTGTGTTGCAAGTACCGTAAGACGTTTTCTAAAACTAAAAATAACCACAAATGATATCAAGAATGTGGACGATCTTGGTTCAGATCCTTCAAACGACATTTTTGAAATATTTAATGATCTTTACTGATCTAATGGGTTGTGAGTGTAGTAAGACACCGAACAAGTCAACTCACCTGACAAGTGTTTATGTTGTCATGGTAATGCTCTTCGGCTTGCCCGTCATAGGAATGGGTTTGAAAGTTGATTCCCGTTCGGACATTATCCCATCTTTCTGTCGGAGGTAACCCCTCTCCAACCCATGTGGGCCTCATTGACTCACAGGTTGAAGCAGTCATCTTCTTTATTGATATAAAACCGTGTCGATGGAGCTGTAAAACGTGCACAGTCAGCCTACGTGCTGGCCGGAACCTGTCAGTTTGAGAAACGTCTTTTACCTAAGGTCCCTGGAGACTGCTGTCTGATTCTGTCATGATTGTTGCCCGAAAAAAAGGAAGTAGTTGAAAGCTGGGCTCGCGACTCGAGATCTCATTTCCTTGCTGTTACTTGGCTTTTAATGTAGGTGTCTGGTCGTCTGATCCATTTCCAGAGCCTCTTTTTTTGTATTTTTTTTTTCTTTACAAATTGCGTCTTCATGCTTTTGAATGGTGCGTTTTGTCTCCTTGTTTGTCTAGACGCCTGTCTTTCTGCTACATTGTGATTCTGTCCTTTTGGCTTTGTGTGTCTTTTTTTACCCAGCCCTCTTTATCCATCTTCCCATTCTTTTGCACCACCCCCTTTTTAGCCCTTATATTCCATATTATGCTCCTCCTCATGGGCGGCTTGCGGGTGCTCTGGTGTTGTTTGCTCCTTCTTTCCTATCCTACACACATTGTCCCTATCCTTTCCGAAGACGCCCTCCTGTAAGGAGGCATTTATTGGTACATGTGCCTGTATAAACAGTGGAAAGGAGGGGGTGGGTGGGTTAAGGCTGCAGTTAAAGGCAGTTAATGAATCAAAATATTGACTACTCTTTCTTTCCCTTCTCCCTACCAGCCCACCTCCCCCCTTCTGTCTGTCTTTTTGTCTGTCGATCTTGCTCTCTCTCTCTGTGTGTCTCTCTGTGTGTCTCTCTGTGTGTCTCTCTGTGTGTCTCTCTGTGTCCCTCAGTGTGTCTCTCTATGTGTCTCTCTGTGTGTCTCTCTGTCTGTCTGCCTGTCTGTCTGTCTGTCTGTCTGTCTGTCTGTCTGTCTGTCTGTCTGTCTGTCTGTCTGTCTGTCTGTCTGTCTGTCTGTCTGTTTTTCTCTCTCTCCTTTCCTCCCCCCCCTCTCCCTCCCTCCCTCCCTCTCCCCCTCCTTACTGAGAATCCAATTGCCGCAAGAGTCCTTTAGGCCACAAGGTATTAATATCTCTGTTTAAAAGGTCGGTGGAAGAGATGCACATTAAGAGGCTCGGAGGATTAGTGGCGATGTGCCGTCAACTCTAATGGGTTTTTTCTCTCAGGAGGATTGCGAAGTCTGGGAAGATTGGAAGTCTTTGAATACGCTTAAGTTCATCAGGGATCAGGCTAAATATGTGTAGTACCACAACTCTTTTTAAATAGTTTTTTTTTTGTTCACCAAGAAAAATGGCTTTAAAGCTATCTTTAAAATCGGCTTAGGATTATGAAATAATCTTTAAAAGTTCTGAAGTCTTAGCAATCCAGGTTAAAATTCCGCCATAAAAGTTTATAACAAAATATACGACATTAAGAACATAATTGTATACGCAAAAATGTAATATCGTTTTAACGATTTCAGGTTTTCCACTGCTTTCTTCCGGTTTGCATATCCACACCGCTACCTCCCCTCCCCTTTTTCTGTCTCATGACAGTCTAATGAATGGACTGGGTTCTGTGCAAGGGCTGGTTGTATGGAATGCATTTTCCACTTGTAATTTCTCGTGAAATTGCCGAGTCGAGGCATAATTCCAGCCTCAGTGTTTTGGTCTTTTTTTTCGTCTTACCCAAATTCTATTTCCGGGCCTAAAAACATTCCGGAAATGAATTTGAAGGGATATCATGGGGGTATTTTTACTTGGAGATGTGGATGATGTCATGGTGAATTCAGAGATATAACATGTATGTAGTGACAGAGAAGTATGGTTTGAGTCCTTGTTTTTGCATACTTTAGTCTCTCTAATTTCTCTCGGAGTTATTGTTTTTCAGCAAACCCCATTGACAAGCGTCTGAGGTGTAATGGTAATGATCTCCTTTCACACAGAAGGCTTGAGTTCAATTACCGAGCAGGGAAGATATTTTAGGGGTGAAATCCCACTTCGCACGAGGAAGAGGGTTGAGACCGCCCGCTTCTTAAATTACATACATTGTTTGGCTGTTTTATTTTAGGAGGGGAAGCGGGTGGTTGCAGGGTGCCATTGGTAGGTCATACGTCTTTATAACCCCTCTTTTGTTATGTCTGTTTGATTTACTCCCCCCCCCCCCTGCCCTAGATATCCGTTAATGTGCCGATGTATTTATTTTTACTGAAATGAAACAATTAAGAAAAACAAAACAAGAAGAACAGGGGGGGGGGAGGGGGAGGGGTTGCAACATACATTCAGACAACTCGTCACTGCCTCAGAAGGCACCGTTTTGTAAAATGCTTACACCTGTTACCACAATGGAGATAACATGGGTGTTCTTTACACTGGTTACCCTCTCTAAAGCATTATATTAGTTTCTTTTGATGATTTCCGAAACTCCCTGCCTTGTTCCCTCATAGATGGACATTGATTTGTCGATCTCCATTCTCCCCCCACACCTCCCCCGAGCGGGTGCTCTGGTATGGTGTGCTTTTTCTTTCCTATAAAAAAAAACTATCGTCCTCATCTCTCTCTCTCTGCCTTCTTTTTTGTGTTTGTTACTCTCATGTAACACTACTTTTCATCTTCGGTACTTATAAGACCTAATTGTGTAGCAAATGCCAGAAAACACTTACTAAAATTAAGCATTACCCCGACATAAGATATCAGTCGTCGTATTTCTTCGCTAAAATAGACGAAATAACGAACTTTGACATCTTCTCCCTAGGTGAGGCCGATAGAGTCCCGAGTTGGATGCTCAGACGCATGTTTTATCTCGGGATGAACTTCAGTTTCCAAAGACCCGGATGTCGCTCCAAGGAGTCGGGATACACAGTGAGTGTGCAATTTGTCTTTCGTCGAAAGTAATATTTATTCTGTCTTGGATGGGTCATAGTCTCCCCATTTCTCTCTTTTAATGTTGTTTCTTCTTACATGTTCATCCTTTTGCCTCCATCCCCTGCCACCACACCTTCTTTCTGTGTGCTTTTTCGTCAGTTTGATAATGTAAAACCTTCCTTTGATCTGTTTTCCTTTGCAATATTAATCTTTGCTTTAATCTCCCTGTCAGTGCAAATGTTCAATTAAATTCCCGTTTTTATTTTATCCCTTGGGCCTATCCTGTTTTAAAAGACCCTGCAATGCTGTTCGGTTATTCGAGAGGTGGGACCACTGATCCAACGTTAATCTTTCTGATATGATCTGGCCTAATGGACAGAGGCCCTGGAAACTGCTCGTTCATGACGACGGCAAGAATGGCCCTATTGGGATTCGAACCAGGGCAGCCCTGTAGCAGTCTAACATGATATAAAATTGACTATCGGTATCGGTGCAGTCTATTCAGACTTTTCTGTCGGGCGTTTGGATTATCGGTGTTCTCGTAAAAAAGCTGAGGTGTGCTCTATAAAACAACTGTTGTTGTCTCTCTAAAGGTAATCGTCATGCCTAGACGTGGGAAGACGAGTCTCTTACCATTTACACGATATTTTACTCGGCTGTATTTATTTTGCTGTATAGTCACACACGTTTTAAAATGTGTTTTGACGTATGTTGAAATGTTTCAAAGACTTTATGGGGGTATAGGGTCAGATTTGTTTTCTTGAGAGCTTAATTTTATTGTACCAATTCAGACAATCTTCTTCCCTGTTACCC